ACTACCACTACTACCACTACTACCACTACTACCACTACTACCACTACCACCACTACCACCACCACCACCACCACTACTACTACCACTACCACTACCACTACTTTTGCTACTGCTACTACTACTACTACTACTACGACTACTACTACTATTACTACTACCATTGCTATTACTACTACTACTACTACTACTACTATTACTTCTACCATTACTTTTATTACTACAACTACAACTACAACTACAACAACAACAACAACTACTACTACTACGACTACTACGACTACTACGACGACGACGACTACTACTACTACTACGACGACGACGACGACTACTACTACTACTCGGGCCCCGGAAGTTTCCCAGTTTTGGGCCGCCCAGTACGACCACTACTGAAATGATCTGAGTTGTATTATTAGTTGGGCACAGGTCTCCTGATGAAGGCATTCGCTTCCGACAAAGCAGTAAGACTAGGCGCTGAAGGACTTGTGCGATGGGCTGAAATACACAACGAGGGTGATGTCAATGTGGCTGTTTTGAAATGTAATGATGGGATCATTCGAAGTAAAGTATTTTTGTTTTCTAATTGGTTGGTGAGTTAGTCAGTCAGTCAGTCAGTCAGTCAGTCAGTCAGTCAGTCAGTTAGTTAGTTAGTTAGTTTTGGTTAGAACTAGTTAGAAATAGTTGGGCAGTTAATTAATTAGGGTATTAGGGGTAGTTAAGGTTAGCTAAGGTTAACTAAGGTTTGTTTTGTTTTGTTTAGGTTAAATTAGTTTAGTGTGGCGTGCAGTAGTTTAGTTTACCTCAGGCTTAATTTAAGCTATAGTCTAGTTCTGCTTTTATTTAGTTTAGTTCTAGGATAAACCTTAGTCAAGATGCATTTAACCTGAAGTATAAAGTTAAATTTAATTTTTGTCAGTTTGTGGGTGAGTCAGTGAGTGAGTGAATGAGTCAGTCAGTCAGTTAGTTAGAGCTAGCTAGTTAGTTAGTTAGTTCGGTAGTGGTATACTTTGCCTGACATCAGGCATGCAGTACGTGGGTTATGCGGAGATGGCATCAGCTGTTTCCAACGCAGCTTGGAGTGGCACTGGGAACATCCTGTTCATTTTCCCGCACGCTTTGAATCCGCGCTCCAGTGGGCGATTGTTGTGGCAACGCGCCGCTGCAAGAACACAATTACATGCAACGGGCAAGAACATGATAGGGTGATAATGCATGATAATGCCAAGTGTGCATAGTGTGGTGCGGTTCGGTGCTGCTGACAAACTCAGGGTGCTGCAGTTGTTTGGCACCATCGAATCGGCTCCATGTGTCACATAGTGCAGTTTGATCAAGTAGTTGCTCATGGGCCACAGCGCGTGTCATCGATCAATGACACTCATTCTGCGCCAGAAAATGCCAGACGTCCTTGTAGAAAAGGACGTCGTTCCACAGGCTGGAGGATTGGGCATCCTAACAGCTTTGACGCAACCATCCCCGGAAGCTTTACGGGCTGATGCTTGGAGGCCTTCAGTTGCACAGTGCAACACATTTTTCAGCAAACAACCCCATAAAAGACAATTTCATAGTGACTAAGACTTGGAACTGAGGAGATCCACAGGTGTCGAACGATGACGGACCGAATTTTGCAAGTTTGTTCCTTTTTTTGGGGGGTTGATTGACAACATGGCTGTCACAGTTGCGGCAGCATTCATTGTGGAGTGACACACTGTGCATGGCGTTGCTCCACAACATGCAGGCACATGATACGTGGTGGGGCGGCGGGGGCAGGACAAACCATTTGGAGTGAATTTGACAATTTTGCCCGCCTTGATTCCAGCAGACCCTCGGCCAGCAAGTCTGGAAAGTGTGAAAGGCGGTGCGTGGAGGGGTGGTTCTTTATGATTTATTTGTGCCATGCTGCACTGCCAAACGTGAAATGCATTGAAATGCCACCCGATTGTACAGCCATAGTCATAGTCATGCCGTTTTTTTGGCCGTTGACACAGAGGAGAGTAGGGCATTGTTGGAGCTGCGATTCGACCAGAAATGGCAGCAAAATGATGACAAAATCTATATTTCTGGACACGGACACGGTGGACGCGTGAAGTCTGAGAACTTAAGCTTCGTCACCAACGATTGGATTAGGCATCGCCGGATACATCTCTCTCTTTCTTTCTTCTCCTTTTGCCTCTCCTCCTCATTCTTCTCGTCCTCCTGTTCCTCCCTGCCTGGCTGGCTTCCTCCCTTGCAAACATCATTGGTGCTTGTGCCAATGCTTTCTCAAAAAGGTGCCCTCAAGTCTTTGATTTTTTTCGAGTTCCAGTTGCTAGTCAAAGTTCACTCCCCTGGTTTGTGGCATTTGCTGCCAGGACTACGATTCTTACGCCCGAGTCGTTGCGGAGGAAAAGGTGCACTTCGATTGATGTGTATGCATTAGGTGATGCTGTAGTCAGTCTTGCAGGTAGCTCTCGTAGAGTTAGCAGCTGGATCACCCAAAAGGTACACGCCCATGTGGAAAGCTGCAGCGTTCTCAGCTTCTAGATGCTGTCAGTGAGCTCGCAACATTTGGTAACCATAATTGTATTGTGTATATGCATACGTATGTTATGTTTTTTAAAGATAATCTATGTACGAAGGACCACGGCGTTGATGCAACAAAGCCGGCCAAGGCCGGGGTCAAAGTGCTGCACAAATCGGCAACGATGCGTCACGCCCTTAAGGCCAAGTGATATGTTGGCTTGGCATTTGCAAAGTTGTTGCTTGAAGATATGGACACCTTGGATGGCAGTGAAACCATTTTTCTCTCCTTTGTCATGGTCCAACAGCATTTTCTAGCAGGCTCTGGCACGATTTGGGAGCTGCTTAGGATAGCAAAACAAGAGCCAAAACTCTCTCAAGGATGGTGTGAACCATTTCCAGCCTGAACTGGGAGGCCCAAGAAGCAGGAGTGGACATCATCGAAATTGTTGGCTACGAAGGCGTCAGCTGTGCCTGTGCTTTTGTGGCATACTTTGTTCAGGGGCAATGCTCTGCGTTGTAGGGAGGGTTTGGCGCTGGGCGACAGGTGGCAAGATTCATGTCATTCAGATGCACCAATCATTGTAGGTTCCATTGCCGGGGGCCAGCCTGGTGATGAGGCTGCCTACTAGAACGGGGTTTCAACCAATTCCCAGTCCTATTGATTTCATCATTTGTTTCGACTTTCAGGTGGGTGCTTGGGTGCTCCTGGCAAAGGCAAGTCACTAGTCCAGACGGAGTTCAACTGTTTGTCGTGGTATAGGGCACCGACATGTACAGACTTTTTCCTCGCAGCTTTGCATAGCTTGAGCTCGCGTGCTTCCAGGCAACCTCAACACTGAGAGTGCCAGTGGTTGCTGCTGGTGCTTCAGGTGCTGCTCGGGGTGCTTTCAACTGGACCCTGTGTTCGATGGACAGCTGTTCTTGCCGCACCGTGTGTCTCAGCAGAACGTACACAATTACAAACGTCAGGCAAGCAGGTCACGGACATGCACCCTTGCTTTCTCTAAGTGCTTCTTCAGCATCAATCTTTTAGGGGTTGTTTTTTTGCAGACAGGGACTGGCCGTCAGCTTGCCGCTGCGTTGGCTATGGGGGTTTGGCACCGAGAGGGCAGGCAACAGGATCAGCAGAGCATTTGGGGCTTAACCTATATAGAACATTTTTGTGTTTTGGAAGTGGCTAGAGGCCTAGAAGCAAGACCCCTTCCAAGTCCAAGTCCGGGATGAAGTGATCGAACGTGTGCAAGCCTGTAAAGTCCCAGGCGCAGGGAGTGACGATGGCCACACGCTTCCTTTGCACGGTGGAGGATGGGCGATTTGTACACAACAGCTATTGTCACCCATGCACGATTATGGTTATTGTATGTTATTGTCACCACTGGCCCTGTACTTTGTGACTCACTGACTGACTGACACTCTCACACTCTCAATCACTCTCTCTCTCTCTCTGCGTGCTTAAGTGACTAGGCGCCCATCGACATGAAAATCAAGGCGCCGGGGATTTGTTTTGGTTGCTGCCTCGGTAAACCGTGGGCCATTCAGCCAGGAGTGCATGGCACGCCCAGAAGTTGACGAGAGGCTGGTTGGTAGACAGTTGAACTTGAACGCTTTTTTGGTGGACTAAGCTCTCCTCAAAATAGAAAGTCCACAAAATCACACAACCTCACACAAACTAGTTCTTAATCAATGATATTTCCCCATTTCATCCTTCCACTTCCTATGCGCATTGGCTTGGCCAGGCAAACGACCATTGTTTTGGGTACCTTGAGCAACGCCACCCGGGTCTTCAAGAACGGCGTGGCTGAAGAGATACGGCGGATTGAACGTCAAGGTGGGAACAATTTTAAGAATCTTAAAGACTTAGACCCTGCTTGTGCTTCGGAGTGTTCAGCATGCCCCCCAATTAAATTCTTGGCACAGGTTGTTGCAAAGTCATGAGACGGACAACGGTGCTTTGTTGATAAATTATCATCGTAGCAATCTCAAATGGAGAAGGTTTTTGATCGCAAATTGCAGCTCAAGATCCTTTAAGATCCTCTTCTTTTGTCCGGAACCTGAAGGGTTCTCTTTTTACCAGAAAGGACATGACACGGTGGAGCCTGGTGGTGTTCTCGTACCTTGGGCTGGCCTATGATTTGCTTGAGGTTGATGATGAGTGCCGCGGTGCTGAAAGCTGCAGCCTCGAAGCACTCCAGCTAAAAGCAGGAACCACTGGAGACGGAGAGGCCGGTGCCGAGGCTCCTCAAAGAATGGGGACCTTCGGAACGGTGCATGCAATGTTCACCTATGGGGCTGTTGCAACCAGCAAGTCGCCTCTTCCAGACCTGTCTCGAAAGAGCAAGAACTTTCGGGGCTTAAGATGCTACACTGAAACCATTTTGGGAGCCACGAAGCAGGACGACATCGCCGCAATTTTTGAAACCAACTTGTATCATGCACGAGTCCCGACACTGGCTCTACACTGGCAGAAGGATTCGGAATACTATGGTGGTGCAGGTAGGCCAGACCTACCGAAGCACTCTGCAGGCCGCCATGGTGATATAGACCATCATAGCATGAGACACTACATTGACAGACTGTCCCACCTACATTTGAATCACACTGACGTCTCAAAGAAGGACCCCTTCAATCTTGGCACCTTATTCGCATTCTTGGCTTGGGGGGCCTATGAGAAGCAACAGTATTGGGTCTCGAAAAGGGATGTGACCATGGAACAGCTGATTGCGGATCACCTTCCGCAGTGGAGACTGGTGGCACAAGTGCAGCAAGATACGCTAGAAGCTGTTGACAACATGTGGCTTGTCCAAAACGAACAATCCCTCGATTGCGTGCTGGCATTTGAGGGGACTCATTCATTTCAAGAATTTGGTCGAAATTTGCATGGAGGCGATTTGGGCTATTGTGGCTTTTTGGATGTCCATCGTGGCTATGCGGACAAGCTGTATTGGCTCACGCTTTACAGCATGCCAGAGCTTCGGCCCTCCCTTTCGAAGTGTAATAAGGTGATGTGCACCGGCCATTCATTGGGAGGATCCCTGTGTGAAGTCTTTGCGGCGTGTGCCAACTCCGGCAGAACATCAGATCCACAATTCCAGAGGCAACACTTCAGCAAAGGAACGCCCGAACTTATGGAGCCGATCCACCAAAAGCCTTTGTCTCGACACTGGAAGGCATAGGTCCTGGCGGGGCCTGGCGAGAATGGGGTGCCATTATCCAGCCCACAAGAGGCTTAGATCCAAAGTGCGAAAAGCAATGTCGGGCCTATTAGTTCAGTTACAGCTTTAGTAGGTTTGGCTAGGAGGCTTTCTGTATCGTACTGTGCGGGTTGCTCAATGCTCTTTCCTTGCAGCATTTTAAATTGAAAAAAATCGTGGAAAGATCGGTACAGTCACTGCCAGGTGACGTTGACTTCAGTCAAGTGATGCCACTAGCATCCGGTGGCAGGACAAAGAAAATGCCGCTTGGAATGCAGTGTGTCGGACGTGAATGCCAAGCTGCACCCATGACAGCCCTAATGAGCAGAAACTAGGGGAGGGAAAACATAGAACACATAAATACCTCTGTTTTTTAACCGGTGGTTTAACCCTAGTCCGGATGATCCACATATATCCACATGAAGAATTCGAATGTGTGTGTAGGATTTGGCATGCCTCGTGCCCATGTCAACCTCAATCAGATTGACGTACTTTTTAAGTAAGGCCAGGTGTGTGTTGTTTATATTTGCTCCATATCTTCCAGAACCACTGAGTCGCTGAGGTGGCAAGAGACGGGCGATACGCAAGACGCGATGTGGAGTTGCTCTCAGAGCCTTGGTGTTATCAGCCGGGTGTCCCAGTTTTGTCAGTCCACTGAACAACTGACACATTCAACTAATTACTGTATCAGAATTTGGCAGCCTGCATAACGTCGAGCTTCATGTCAAGTCCCCAAATGACCTCCCACACACTCCCACTCTGCATGAACGTTTCATGTTTGTATAGAATCTAGCTGAGTGTAGTGTAGCCGCAGATGTGCCTTCCAGATCCTTCCTTCCAGGTGACATCCCCACATGCAAGGAGCTGTTGAGGCACGGGCACCCAATGATGCCAACATGCAAAACATGGGACGTCACGGAGCTGGCCTTTTCGCGCAATGGTAGTGAGATCAAAAGAAGACCAAACAGTGGGGAAGAGTAAGAGGAGGTGAGTAGTCTAGAGTCTAGGTTTTCAGCACAGCGCCACTTACACTTGAGATGAGATCAATGAGGCGTATGGTTGCAGAGGCTGAGGAACGTCTCAACCACGGAGCGAAATGCATAATCAACTCAAAGCTTTGAGTCTCTCAGCTTTGTGCTAATGAGGGCCAGGGATTCAGATGATTCCCGGTCATGCAGTGCCAGGCTTTGATCCGGGATCTTAATGTAATGAAATGTTATGTAAGTTCCGAGCCTCTTTCTCGACCAAAGCCTGAGTAATTCTTTCGAACTGAGTGTCTCTGTGTGAGTATCTCTCAGTATTGCCTCTCTCATCTCCGTGACAAGGAGTCTTAGAATCGGTGTGTGATGTTTGCGCAGCCTGGGCTGACATTTGGTTGGCCAAAAGTGGGGGGTGAACGTTCCTTGGTACGGCTGGCAACACCCTACCTTAAAGGACCAATGATGAACGGTGGCACAACATCATACAACATCAATACTTCATCACCTTCACAACCCTTTGGGATATTTTGGGACCATCGCAATTTCACGGACATTCGAGGCAGCTACAGGTACACTTGCTCACTTTGCCCCCCGCTTGGGTCATGGCGCCTCATGGCTGATACGTGTTGAGGGGAGTAGGCAGCATTCTTGTCTCGCGATCTTGACCCGCAGCTGGGAGTGATCGATTTAATCAGATTTGTTGTTTCACCCTTTCACCTGCATGGGAACTCCTGAGTTTAATTTGCGACATGCGAGACAGGTGGCGAGGGTGGAGTTGCGCAGAGTGTTAGTCTACACGTGCTTGGAGTGAGTGAAGCACCAGCGCTAGCATGTTTTCATAGTGTATTCTTTGACTTCACACAACCCGTTAGTATCAAACAAATCAAATGGCTACCTTCCTAACCGTGGCGCCTGTGCAATGGCCATGCTGCAGATGATAAAGGTGCCTGATGCCCTGGGCCGAGTTGCAAGCAATAGAATATATTATATGGTCAGATTGGGTGAAGAGTGCCATGAGCCATGAGAGAAACAGTCTGAGCGCATGCGTTTACTTTGCAGTGTTGTCTTCAGCATGGAGCAAGTAGAGCCTTACATGCCTTTCGTTCCCTTTCATCCACCTTGTTGGCTTTTTAAGCGGTGTTGGTGGGGTGACTCAAGACTGTGCTGCCTTGGGCTGAGCTGTAAGGTCCAGCCCTCGAAGCCCACGAGGGAATGAGAGCCCACGAGGTGTTGAAAGCCCTCAAGTCGAAGGCAGTCCCAGAGGCAGCAGCCTCAGACCAACTGCTTGGGACCTAGTAACTTTTCAGTATTATATATATATATTGTATATATATATATATGTGTGTGTGTGTGTATTGTATAGAATTGTTGCGCTTGGTAAAGCTGGTGGGTAGAGTTGTGCGGAAGTTTGTGGATGCCGCTCTTCTCCAAAGGTGGAAGTCCTCGCGGGAAAAGTTGTTGGAATTGGCCGGGGAACTAAGGCTACGATTACACACCAAGAAACGGAGAGAGACAGAGAGAGGGGAGCAGAGAGAAAACAGTGGACTCCTTGTGGCTTCGGTCGACGTATGTCGACAGGCAAGCCTTGTGCGACTCAGGAAATGCATGAATTCATCAGATGCTAACAAAGCTATTGCAGAATTGGGGCTCCCAACACATCTTAGCACTGTAGTCCATTCCAGCCTTAAGCAGCATCTTGGTGTTCGTGGTCAAACTATCGCATGAACACAAGCTGCCAGCTTTTGACTGCATTGGCCGAGGAGTGACAATGAGAGCGAAGGTGGAGATAGTGAGGGCCCAAAAACTGGTGCGAATTTGAGCCGTGAATGAGGAATGTCCAGAATACCTCAGTTTTTTTGTTTTCGTCTTTGGATTGTTACGTGTCAAGCAAGTACACTCAGCACACTGTTGGCTTATGAAAAATAAATAATCAATAACTGATGATCCTGAAAAAGACAATAAAAACAAAAAATAAACAAAAAACAAACAGCACAAAAAAACAATCACAAAATGTGTAAACACAACAGACAACAAACAAAAAACAAAAAACAAACAAACATAAAACAAAACTAACACAAGCACCCAGAACACGTCTATTTGTTCTGCTTTTTTTCTGTTCTAGCAAAAGCTGGCCTTGAAATCAGGTTTTCTGTAAAAACCCTAGGAAAAAAACAAAAAATAAACAAAAAATAAACAAAAAAGAAACAGAAAAGAAACAAAAAAGAAACAAAAAATAAACAAAAAATAAACAAAAAAGAAACAAAAAATAAACAAACAATAAACAAAAACAACACAGCTCGAAATGGAGGGAAGGACGGTCTTTGACCGGGTTTTCTGTTTTTGTATTTATTTATTTATTTTTTTTTATCTTTTTAATGATTTCCAGTCTTTGATGGGTCTTGATCATCATAACTGTTGGCTTTGCATTGGCGATTTGTATCAAGTTGACTAGTGACTAGTGATCATGATTGTCAGGCGCGTGAATTGTGATCTTGACTACCCTGTGCTTAGCAAGGAAGTCAAGGTTTTTGCTGGCCATTTCGCACAGACAGTTGGGGTCATGATTTTCGGTTCGGGGGGGTCCAGTTGCAATTTGCCATTACCATTCACATCGTTGGATGGTCGCCTTTTCTGGAAGACCACCCGCTCTGCGGACAATGTAGTGAAGGTGCCAAGCAGTTGCCCAGGCGAGGAAAGTTTGGATGCTGAGCGTGAAGCACCCAGTGCTTGTGACTACTTCGTCGTCGTCGTCGTTGTCGGAGCACTTATTTCAAGATAGCAATGGGAAGTAGTAGTCTCAAGCCGTAAGCACACACACAACATCAGCACCAACTTCAAAGTCACCCACTTTTGTAAGACCCCTGTGCCTGTGGATGTCTTTAAGTGGCTGAGATTGAGGACCTGACAAAGCCAAGGAAACTGCATGATTCCCAGCTGTGAAGTGACAAACAGGATGTGATGCCATCACAGAAGTTGTGTTGCCAAACGAAAGCTTGATATTGGAAGGAGGACAGTCAACAGTCAATAGTTTCAGTCCCAACTGGAAGAGAAAGGCGGCATTCTGCTACTTTACTATTGCTCGCCATGTGATCATGTTTCAATTTTAGTTCTTCTCAGTGCTGCCAGGTCCAAGAGAGGCACGCAGATTTTGTCAGTGCTTCGGGGTTGACTCAAGTTGTCCACTGCATTGAGCTAGTTGCTAGCACACCCATCTTGAGAATATAGTCAGGTGATGTCAGGTGCATCCAAACAATGCCTAAGGTGCCATAACATTCACCACCCCGAATCCATGCGAATGCCAGGAGTACATATGAGAAATTGATTGGAACAGTTGCTGATGGGTGTTGTTCTGATGGCGCATGCCTTGGAGCTACAACACTCGCAGGGAACAACAATAGTATGCAAACAGTTTTTCGTTGCATGACTCGACTCATGCTCAGCATTTGATGCAGGCGTGAGCCACTTCGGTCCAAGATCAAGAGGCCAGCGGATGGCCGGCGGTGCTGCGTTTTGACCATAGGACATGACCGTCCGACACTGAAGAACACTTGGCCACCCTTGCAGGGTGTTTTACAGTCTTGGTGCACAAAGTAGGCGAAGGAAGACTCTCCACTGACTGGGCCAGCTTCAGAGTTTGTTCAAAGCGCCGGGAGGTTATTTCATGTTATTTCGACAGATGGACAGTGCAAGGCAGAGCATAATCTTATGAAACACTAAGACGGCCAATATGTGAGTTGGTGGTAGTGATGCCGATCAGGTGTTTCCGTGCCTTTTGCCGAAGGACTCTTCTGAATCAGGGATGGGTGTGGGAGAGCACCACTGGAAATCGGTGGAAGAGATACGGATCCTCAAACTGCCAATCCTTTGCATTAAGCCTCAAGCTGAATTTTGAGAGAGGAAACAATGTTTTGCAGATGAGATCTTGGATTCCGATTCCTTGCTGGAAATTGCGCTTTGATCATGCATGCCTTTCATGGAAGCTGAATGCTGGAGTTGTTGGAACAAGCGTGTGGCAGGATCACCCGATGTCCAAAATGCAGATGTTGCGTGGTTGTCTCAAAAGCTTTCACCTGGAGACATTTCGACCTCAAAACGTCACCTTCTTTGAATAGCTTAACTTATTACTGTAATCAATTTTCATTATTATAGGGAATCACACTTTGATGGCATCCCGCCTCTGGCACAAAATGATGGACATGGGGTACCACTAAGACCTTACCGGAGACCTATGTTTTGAGGGTGGGTGCCATCAACGTGTGCTGTGTTGTGACTCTGCAGTTTAAGGATTCCGTCGCCCACATGTGAACAGCTCCTTTTCGCGATTGCTGAGCTGTTGCTGAACCACTCAGACTCAGGACATCCTTCCATCAAATTGAATACAAAAAAAACAACATCAACATACAGTACATATAGGGAATCACACTTTGATGGCACACCATGATCAAAACCGGCGATCTGTGGTTGAAGCCTCACTAGATGCCATCTATGTTCCAGGATCTAGCCTCAAGTGGTTGATGGCATTTCCCAAGTAGAGATCACAAATTGATGGCATATCAAGGGCGTTTTGCGAGTGCCATCAAAGTGTGATTCCCTGTATACAATTATGTATGAGATCCATCGAGAGTTTGTTGCTCATGGTTGTTTCTTCACCCTGTCAATGTGGGGCGCGATCATTTTTGGCGCTTCCCCTACCTTTCCACCCGTCCAGGTGGGTTGTGTAGCGTTGCCTTGCTACTTGACTACTTGACAAACCCCTTTCCAGATGGTGAGTGCGTTCTACTTGGTTTTTGCCAAGCAGTTCAATTCCTGCCCTGTTTCTGGCCGCTCCCTTCATTGAGTTTTTGAGTTTCTGATTGCAAAGGTCTACACGATGCCCTGCTTCTACTGCTGCGCTCCAGATCAGATGCTGGATAGGCAATGATCCTCACATGACCCCAAGCACATTTGTTTGCGATTGACCTTGTCTTGTGGGCCATGTCCTTGCTTGATATTCCATCGTTGGCCTGCTAAGGTACTTCCCACGGCATTGTTTTCAATCGAAGGTAGACACGTGCCATCAGTTGAGGTAGAATACCGTGGCACATCCCCAGGTACTCCTCCCCAGGTACATCTCATAGCATTTGAGAGATCCCTCCTCAGTTGCTCAGCAGCTGCTGCATTTCGCCAGGGAGGTGCTCATTGAGCAATTGAAAGCGGCCAGCAGCGGAAAAGCACCCAGCATGAACTTGGTGGAGGCAGGCAATACTGCAAATAGCTGCCAGGTGAGGGCATGTGAGGGCCCAGGAGGCAGCCAGGGGGCTTTTGGTGATGAGTATCGATGTACAAAGGGGCTTCCTTCTTTCAGTTTTCGACCAATCCCTGGCTGCTTTAACAACATTGTTACCCTTCTGCGTCAGCAAGTGTGCTATTTGTATAACTGCGAAAAAATATGTACTGGAAGGGGGTAGAGAAGAGGTGCAAGCATTGTTCCTGAGACATGGAACTGCTTACTGGTTGCAGGAGACAATGGCAGCTGACCAGGAGCGAATGGCCCACCACAAGAAGAAGTGGCCCCTTTGCTGATAGCGTTGATACCAGCGAAATAGGTGCCTTTCCTGTTGGTTGCTGCTTTTGCAGTGTCCTTAGTGTCACTGGACAGGTGATCATTCCATCCACTTCACAACATCCCCTCTTCGGCCCAAACCGGGATCCCTGCTGGCAGCATGATAAGCCAAATTTGGACGACCCTGAGCCAGTGCTCCAAGAGCCTGGTGGCAATGAGGGGTTTCCTGCATGAACTTCGGCAGACGTCGCGCCCCTTTGCAGAGCTGGACCCTTTGTAACCCTTAACCAGGAAGCATGGGTGGCTGGGTACTTTAGGCCTTCGAGACGAAAGCTTGATCATTTGGACTCGTTACTACTGCAATAGCTTCTTGTTACTACTAGTCAGGGACTTGTTACTAGAAGCGATGCCCTTGTTACTGGTTACTAATAGCTTCTTGTTACACAGTAAGGCACTTGTTACTAAAACGATTCCTAAGTCCGCGATTTTAAGGATGTCCAAAGAACTTGTGATGTGAGTTTAGCCTCTCCGTTTGTTGGCTGCCGAGACCTGGGGCACACTGTGTGTTCAGGGCTGCCTCCTCTACTCAGGCGAAGCCGTTGGCGTGCCGGTGACCTATTGAGTGCAATTGACCTATTGAGTGCAATTGAGCATTCCAAAACCACTTGAAAGATCTTGAAAGCAATGGTTGCAGTTGCAGCAGGGCTATATTAGCCGGCTGCCTATTTTCCAACAATAATCACCTGAGTCCAATAAGAGTCACCACTACTGAGGTTTGCAGCTGTTGTTGCTGCTGCAGCTTGCTGGGTGGGCTGGGGGCCCCGGCCGTCCTGGCCAGGAATTCCTGCAAGTTGAGCACTTGCAAGTTGTAGGATGTCATCAACATCAAGTTGCACTCGTTTGACCTTCAGTTTCGAGTTATACAGAACAAGAAATCATGCGGTGCCACTAGCTTTTCGGAAGAAGCTTGGCCAACGTGTGCCAATCCAAGGATTCGAAGTCGTGTGGGGCCGGGTTGTGGCCGGAACTACTGTACTTTCCTAGCTTCTTGTTCCTAGTAGCGATGTCCTTGTTTCTAATAGCTTCTTGTTACTACTAGTAAGGCACTTGTTACTAGAAGCGATGCACTTGTTCCTAGCCCAATCACTGTTGCCTCATGCCTTCAGCATGCCGAGATTCATTGCTTTGGTCTTAGTGCCATCCTCAGCATGCCCCAGCACGTCATTTGGTGTCGGAAAGCGCTTTATCATTATTATCCCTGAGCTCTCCGGAGGACGATCTAGCATCTAAGAATAAAACGGACAACGAGATCTGTGTGATACAGGGCGGCACCAGGTTCTCAGCAGGGCACTACGCCGAATATCAGCGAATGTCAAGTTCAAGCTATCACTATCTCTGATTCACAAACACTGACCACAACTGACCACTGACCTCCACAGATTCTCTCTCCTGATCTTTTCCGGTTTGGACCATTCAGATTGGAGGGGCGAGTGGTCGTCTGAGCGAGTGGCAGTGACGCTAAGCTCTATGCCACTTCGCCTTGGCAGCAACTCTGTGACGATTGTGGCTGGAACAAGCGGGCAAGGAACTCAGAGACGGAATGAGCCAGGCCAGGGATGGCAATATCAACGGAAGCAACAGGGGAGACCATGAACTGAAACACAGTGATTTTTTTTGCGCTGTCCTGTCATTGAAGGAATCAAGGAATCATGGAAAAGTGGGACATGAAAGTGGATGCAAAACATTAAGGCACGTTGAACATGGATCCCCACTTTGAGTTTGATAGTTTGGAAAATCGTCCCACTCATGTGGAAATCTGGTGGTATCCACTCAGATTGCAGCCTTGCCCGTAGAACGGCTCAAGATGAAACCTGTCACGAAAAAAAGGGAGTGCCTTTAGGCGTGGTGCGGATGTGCCAGGTTGAGCTATGCAAATCCCGAGCATTCCAGCAATGCTGTTTCCAAGAAAGGTAGCTTGCTAGGCGCTAGGAACTTATATATATATAGTTTGGTTCACTTGCCTAGCCTGCTGGTGAATCTTGTGAACAGCAGCAACATGGTGCTTTCCACATGTTTGATGTTTGGGATGCCAAGTTGCAGGTGAAGGCAGCCGGCTTGGCATGGGTGATGGCGGTGTCGAGGTGTTACGCGGTAACCTGGTGGCATTCTCGGAACCTTCATTTCTCCATTTCCATCAATTTTCTTATTTTTGGATTGCATTTCGGACGGAGACATGCCCTCTTCAGCAATTCAGCTCCAAGCAGGAACAGACGCGCGGATTGCACAATGTTGACTTGATAGATGTATGATGTGTACATATATTGACATTCATGTATATTATTGATGTATGATGATGCATGCATAATATATGCAGCAGTTGGTCGTTGGACTTGCGTGCAATCAGGATATGTCCCTCGAGACCCCCCACTTGCCAGCTGCGCTTAGCCAGGCGCAAGCAAGCAATTCAATCAACTAACAAGAAACACGCTATGGGCCGTAAAGGGAGGAATTCACAGCAGACACCGTAGCATCTACATTTACATTGGCCACAGTATTGGTTGGCCACAGACCCACAAAATCGTCTTTGTGTTCCCGCTTTTGTGCCAGAAGCTACTCCTGGCCCTGCGTGCGGGAATTTCGAAGGCAGGAACTTTTGCAACTTTTGTCCTGACAAACGGGCCAACAAGTAGCAAGATGAAGCAAACTATATAGTTACTAATTGCTCTTTCTATGCATTGCATATTTGCACTGAATCTGCTTAGCATGCAATTCAGAGCCCATGTGCAGCCTCCACGAGGGTTGACCCTAGTCGTTTGGGTCTGGCACATTGCGCAACCGATTGCGTCACATTGTCACATGGTCCTGCATTTTGCATTTTATACATTTTAGAGTGAGCCATAGGTTTCAGAAGGCTCAGTTGTAGTGCACTGTAGTCCGTGAGCTCGCCTCGGTTTGGGCAACACCACGAAAGCTTTGCACAGGGAAGAGCTGAAAGGGAGGAAAAGCCAGAAGTGACGAGCAGCTTGGAATACAATCACAGTGACTCAACCAAGTTGAAAGGTAATTGAACTTCGCTACTCCACGAGCCCAGGTTACCGGCCAGTCCTTAAAGTGTTCAGATTCTGTTGAGCTGTGCTGCTCCACGGGCCTCCGCATATGATGCATATGAATTCTCCAAGACATTTGGTTCAATCATGTGAGGGGTCCCTCTTTGGCCAGCTATCTT